TCCAAATAGAGTTGTTCTTTTTTCCAGCAAATCTAACGCTAACGGAATAGAAGTAAAATATTTATCCATTGCTATGTTTCTATCNAGGTACTATAGGTGGCACAGTGGTCTCCTCAAAATGCGTTCTGGTTTAACCAAGAGTCTGAGACTATTTCGAACTGTTTGAGATTTTTTTTGTAAGCATCATGTCTTGAGCAGTTTCCAAACAGTTTTTTATGTTGGAACCAGAAAAACCTATTGGCAACAACTTGTTCCCACTCAAACCTCAGTATAATAAACGATATTAAAAAAAGGATAAATAGAGTTTTTAAAGTCCTTCTAGTGGAATTCTCTGATCCACGTCAAACGTAGTTATTTTGCCAATGCTGACTTTTTGAGTATGCAGCCAACAATACCCCATGGACTGAATGCAAATTGCCTATTGCTAATTACTGGTAGCACAAAATAAAATAATGAAAGCATAACAAGAATGGCGCTCCAACCGATAAAAAAAGACATTTATAGCACAACAAATAATGGGCTAATTTAACAATTTTTTTTATTTCATAATTTGAAAGTTTATGTTTCAAATAGTACATCCGTAAAAAATTTGAATTTTCACTCTTTATCTTCCTCCTCAAATTGATTGTTGAATGTGGCGTTCACCGAAACGGGGCGTGGTCAAGCTTGACGTCACATCAGTCGACTCAGCGACAAGGGAGTGCTGGCGGATAAGCGAAATACGGTGGTGAAGCGGTAGAAAGCAAGTTGTGTGTTGTTTACTGCAGTGTGTCAACTGCGTGAATTTGAATAATGGTAAAAAATGACATTACAAGTATTGCGTCGCTCCTAAATGTAAGAATTCTTCAGTAACTGCACCAGACAAAATTTTTATTTCACTCTTACGAAAGTTATGGCAGCACGCTAAGCGGGGGGCCGACTTTGTATCTGCCAAGGGGACGCATTTATGTTGCGAAGATCATTTTAATGTAAGTATGAATGATAATGATTATTAAAAAAAAATATAGTTTACTCTGAGCACTACTATGAAAGTGGGAAAATTATATTGAAACCAGGCGTAATTCCGCATATATTTGATTGCCAGATTGATAGACCGACGACCCATACATCTAAAGCTCCACCGTTTGATCAAAAAAAGGAAAAACTAATTTTGTTGGATACTTATAACGAAGATATCTCTGAAAATCAAACCATGTCTGATTAAGCAGGTATACAGGAAGAGACCTTTGATGTTGGAATTCAAGTTTTTCGAAGATCAAAAGCTAAACAGACCATGAATATTATATACCACCGAAAAGAAATCGTTCGAAAGAACTAGAAAATACAGAAAGTATTGAAAAAAATTACTACTGAGTTCCCCCGAGAACTGTTAGAGTTTGAGTACCTACGTCAGACATGACTTCTGTTGATACATCATCAGATTCTACTTTGTCTGGAATATTAGTTGAAAACTGGAATTCGAAAAACAATATTGAGCGAAGATGTATTAACGTCATAGAGAAAAATCCGAAATCTTGTCTTTCTTGGAATCCCAAGGTACTCTTTATTTATTATAGAATTTTTGTCTCAAAAATGCCATTTACCCAGAATTGATATATACATTACTTTGAAGAAAATCAAATTGAATTGACGATAGCAGCGATTCATAATCTCCAAGTACAGTCCCGGTTGTCACCGCTCGAAGCTCGTTTGCCTGGTGTAACGTCAAGATGTACCGCGGACGATCTCACATTTTCAATTGCTCTTGCTCAGTTGTTAATTGACATATGAACCGAAAAATTTTGTGGAATACTTGGCAGATGATTTACTTTTATAATATATAATTTTCAATAAAAAACTGAATTAGCCTGAATGAGCCCATTCCTGTGAATACGAATGGTTTCGTTACAACAGTTCAAATGTTAAATTGAATACATATGTATTCTTATCTCAAAAATTACTGAAAGCTTGTGGAACTTATGAGAATCAATAGTGAAAAAGTCGTAGAATACAGTCAGTTCACTCAGGTCTGTATGTAACAGAATGGCTTATGTAGGGTATTTCATTAAGCCCTTACTATTTTTAAATTTAAATTAAACAAAGTGTGTGTGAGATACTATCAAATTTTTTCAATCGTTTGAAAGACCTATTGAAAACATTTTGTGTGAAATATAACATCGTTAAAATTCCCGGCATGGCTTCTCTGAGTGAAGGGCAACCGAAACGTCCAATTTTTCATGACTCTGGAGCATAAATCAAACTGAATTTTACATACTTTACATACTCCATGGTTGTTGGTGACATGGGTTGGTAACACTGCCAAGTTCATAGTTTGGAAGTAGTTTTTTAGTTTTGGTAGTAGTTTATTATTCACTAAATTACATGTATTTATGGAAGCATACAATAGAAAAAAGTTACATTTCTATAGTGGTTTCATTCAACAAATTCAATTGGTCTGATTCATATACAGGATGATGCAGCTAGTCAGACTTCAATTAAGTTAACTTCCTTCAACATTTGTAAGTGCTCTCCCTGAGAGCATGTTCAGTAACAACAGATTTGTAAATATCCCCTGAGCGACATTTTTTTGTGTTCAACACTGATCCACAGCTACAAGAGATCCACTGTTAAGAAAGGTTCTCCGGGGTCAGTAGCTGATCTCAGACTCTCTCTGATAGTTTTCTATCCACCATATTCATTTCACCTGTGAATCCTGTCCCAATCCGGTTCGTAAATGGAATTTTCAGTTGACATGGGTTGGTAACACTGCCACTTTCATAGTTTGGAAGTAGTTTTTTAGTTTTGGTAGTAGTTTATTATTCACTAAATTACATGTATTTATGAAAGCATACAATAGAAAAAATTGAAGATTGTTAGGTTTGAGGCAGGTCAAGTGTAGTCAAGTGTGCGGCAAGTCGACATACTTGCTTGTAAGAAAATAAATCAGAATAACCACTGTGGTTTGTAGCTTATTCGCATACATCTGCGACCCTGCAAGAAAAAGTCTAACGGGGTCAAATCGCACGATCTCGGTAACAAGTTCACCTCACCTCTACGTGAGATGACCATGCCCCCAAGTCACTTGTACAGAATATCCAATGTGGAATGAGTTTTGTGGTACGTAGCGCTGTTGGTATCCAGATCATCTAATTCAGGCCAAAAGAGTAGGTATTCGTCGACCGATAGTGCTCGCCGTTGACAGTGTTTGCCTGGCTAACGTCGTTATCGAAGAAATATGGACCGATAAAGCCACCAGCTCAACATCCACACCAAACATTGAGGTTTCAGGGATGCATTGGACGCTCTTGGATCTCATATGAATTGATATCATCCCAATTATCAACAATTTTGTTTGTTCACGGACTCATCCATTCAGAAATGTACATTATGGATGAGTGAAATACTATAAGATGTTGAATGGAATTTGGAAAACAACTGAACATAGAAGTAGCTCACAGAACTAGTTCAACACTCAAATGAACCCATAGAAATCTGAAGGTTCTGGGATTCATGAAAAAAGCTGTGTATGCAACAAAAATTTGCTGACCAACTCTTTTATAGTAACAAAGTCCGCTTGTTTATCATTCGATACGTAAATTTGAGGTTATTCATCACAGCTTTTAGTACAGCTGCCAAATTATCAAAAGCACTCTCAGTAATGTGAAGAAAACAAAATGATATCTCGGAATGAAAAATTCATTCGAGATTGAATATTGAAATGAGTTCATACAATGAACACATACAAAACAATTATTTCTGAGTAATGGGTCGATTGAGCACTATTCAGTAGTGTAGACGCATTTGAAGGTGTTTTGTTTACAATTGCTGTAGATATTATCGAAGGCAAGGAGGTAATGAACGGAATATTCTGGTTCACTTAGAGCACGCATTTAAAGTCTGAGTCTCTAGTTACATTTCTATAGTGGTTTCATTCAACAAATTCAATTGGTCTGATTCATATACAGGATGATGCAGCTAGTCAGACTTCAATTATTTGAAGTGTCTGGTGCATGGACCATTCAGAATTTTCCGAGATTTTGTGTGTGATGTAATTACGTAATTACATTTGGATGGGGCGTGTGTTAGAATGCATGGCATAGGGCTTTTCATGTGTGTGTCTGTATAAAAACATACGTCTGCATATTTCAAAGATCCTCCAAGTAATGAATGTTCTATCGTTGTGAGCCCACCAAGTTAGTGGTATGACAGCTGCAACCGTTCAGCGGTAGGAGAGCGAGATGTGCACTCCACGGCGTATGGCTGAGTAATGCGTATTCATCGATGTGTCCCTACCTCTCTCGATGCGATGAAGGCTGTGACGTAACGCATCGCTCTAGCCTCGCTATCGATGGTGACACGACTGTGTTACTCCCACCACCACTATGACGTATTAAAATTATTTAATTAGTTGCTTTTTTTGGTGTTTAGTAACATCAAGTTGAAGTGTCTGGTGCATGGACCATTCAGAATTTTTCGAGATTTTGTGTGTGACGTAATGACGTAATTACATTTGGTTGGGGCGTGTGTTAGAATGCATGGCATAGGGTTTTTCATGTGTGTGTCTGTATAAAAACATACGTCTGCATATTTCAAAGATCCTCCAAGTAATGAATGTTCCATCGGTGTGAGCCCACCAAGTTAGTGGTGTGACAGCTGCAACCGTTCAGCGGTAGGAGAGCGAGATGTGCACTCCACGGCGTATGGCTGAGTAATGCGTATTCATCGATGTGTTCCTACCTCTCTCGATGGAGCGATGGCTGTTAATCGCTCTACCCTCGCTGTTGATGTTGACACGCAGACGGTGAGGACTATGTTGACATCTGTCCTGTACGAGAGCGCAACGCTGTCTGTTCGTATCGGCATCTGTTAATGTGTCCAGCTGAGAAATTGAGTTGGCGCATGTAACTGAGAGGGATGGCTATGTCGTCTTGACAAATACGATCAGAGTGTATTTAAGAAGTGGACAAGTGTTGGTTGCATTAGTTTACATCAAGTGTGTTAGTGAGAACGTAACATAGAAAATGTATTCCTGTGACTGTGGTAAATTTTTCACTCGTAGTGATAATCTTCGTCGGCATCAGCTCCAGAGTTGCCAAGGAGGGCCTGCAGTGAAACGGGTGAGAGTGGATAATGCAACACCTATGTATACGTGCAATTGTTGTAATGTGACAATTCCTATGACCCAAGTGAATTCTCACCGAAGAACCATGAGTCATAAAAATAATGCATGTGTTCAATTGTCTGACGGTGTTCAAATTATAACGAATGCATTCAATTGCCGCATTGCTACATACAGGGTGGAGAGTTCGATTGTAACCAGTGACTACATGTCATTTTTCAATAAGATTAGGCAGAAGGTCATTGAATTACTGGAATCAGCCATCAGGATCCATAAAAGCATCAAGGTGAATATGGAAGTTTTTGGGAATTATATTCTTCAGACTGATGATTCGAGGGACACGAAGTCATTTAATTCCCAAAATAAAATAGTGGACCAATCTTCAGATTTGAATGCTGTTTTTGATGGATTCCGTGATGTAATTGTGGCTCAAACGACTGAGTTCCAGGATCGTGACTCAGGTATTTATTTTTTAAAAATTTCAATAAGATTGAATAGTAATATTTTTTTTTTTATAATTCAGGTTGGACTTGTGAAAAAATATTGTTTCTCGAGGTCAACATTAATAAATACAGTCCACTGGAAGGACGTTCATATGTGAAGCTGCCTCAATGTATTCAATGGAAGAAAGCTGTTGTGAATGTTCGTAATGAAGATCAATATTGTTTTGCTTGGGCTATAACATCAGCATTATATCCTGCAGATAGTCGAGTGTCCGAACTTACGTCATATCCACATTTTTCCACTGTTTTAGATGTCACAGGTATGGATTTTCCGGTTAAAGTTAATAATAAGAGTATCGAAATATTCGAAGATAGGAATGATATTTCAATTAATGTTTACGGTCTAGAGAGTAAATTTGAGAAGGGCAAAATAAAGTATGGAGTGATTGGTCCATTGCGATACTCACAGAGAAGACTCCGGAGACATGTCAATTTGTTACTTATAACTGATGACACCGGTAATGGTCACTATTGTTGGATCAAAGATCTTTCAAGATTAGTTTCTATTCAACTATCATCACATGGACACAAAAAATATTTTTGTGATGGATGTTTGATATATTTTTCTAACGAGAGGTTGCTTTTACGTCATAAGATGTATGATTGTAATCACGTTAGTACCACAACACCAAGCACCAATTTTAAGGTCAATAAATATGGTAGGATGGTTGCTGAAAATAAATTGATTTTTGAAAACTTTGAGAGACAAATGAGGGTGCCATTTGTGGTGTACGCTGATTTTGAATCAGTGCTTGAACCGATTCACATGAATGAGCCGAATCCCGAGAGTTCAAACACGATTAAATCATTCAAACATAGCCCATATTCATTTGCTTATTTGATTAAATGTTCATATAATGATGATTTGTCAAAATTTGTTACATATAGGGGTGTAGATGCTGCTCAGAAATTTGTGAGTAGCATTGAAGATGATTTGAAAGAGATACATGAAAATCATCTCAGATACCCTAAACTAATGGATGCACAAACTGTTGAAGAAGAAGAACAGTTTGTTGCAGTCAGAACTTGTGGTATATGTAATAAACAATTTATTGATGGTGAAGTCAAAGTTAGAGATCATTGCCATGTCACAGGGAAGAAAAGATCACATGCCGCTCATTCAAAATGTAATTTGAATTTCAAAATGCCTAATTTTATACCTAATATTTTTCATATTTTGAGTGATTATGATTGTCATTCATTTATAACAGAATTGTACAGGAATAAAGAGAAAGTTGATGTTATCCCGCAAACTAAAGAGAAATACATATCTTTCACGAAGCATCTCTTTACACACACCTTTACCGATAAAGATGGTAAGGTTAAGAAGAATTATCTCAAAATGAGATTTATTGATAGTTATAAATTTATGACTAATTCGTTGGAGAAGTTGGGTGCTAACTTGACCTCTGATCAATGTTTGGAAATGCATAAACATTTCCTACAAATTGAGAAATTCAATTTGATGAGACAGAAAGGTGTATTTCCATATAGTTTCGTTGATGACATCGACAAATTGAATTATACATCACTTCCGACAAAAAATCAGTTTTAGGACACACTCAATTGTGATCATATATCGGAAACTGATTATGATAAGGCTAGAAATGTGTGGAATTCTTTCGAGTGTCAGAATTTGGGTGAATACTCTGATTTGTATTTGAAGTCGGATGTATTGCTATTATGTGATATTTTTGAAAACTTTCGCACCACAAGCTTAGAGATATATAACTTAGATCCAGCACAATATTACACTGCACCTGGATTATCTTGGGATGCCATGTTGAAGTATACGAATATTGAATTGGAATTACTAACTGACATTGATATGATTCACTTTTTTCAAAAAGGTATACGAGGTGGAATTAGTCAGTGTAGCGAGAGAAAACATGTAGCAAATAATAAATTTTTACCAAATTATAATCCCAATGAACCTTCCACATTCATTACATATTTAGATGCAACAAATCTATACGGTCATAGTATGTCACAACCTCTACCAACAAGTGAATTTACATGGTTGACACCTAATGAAATTCTCAATCTTGATGTGATGAATGTGAGTGTTGATAGTCCGTATGGGTATGTGTTTGAAGTGGACATTCATTATCCACAAGTGTTGCATGATAAACATTCTGATCTTTCATTTTTAGTTGAAAAAATAATACCACCTCGTACACAATCGAAATTTCCCAAATTGATTCCAAATTTGAATGATGAAAGAAAATATATTGTTCATTATAGAAATCTACAGCAAGCCATCAAAAATGGTTTGATTGTAATGAATACACATAGAGTATTGAAATTCAAACAATCACGTTGAATGAAACCCTATATAGATCTTAATACTGAAATGCGTAATAGGTCTAACAACAAATCTGTTAAAGATTTCTATAAACTAATGAATAATGCGGTATATGGAAAGACAATGGAGAATGTAGATAATCGAATTGATGTTAGACTCGTTACACATTGGGAAAATATAAAGAAAAATATAGGTGCCAGCACTCTCATAGCCAAACCAAATTTCAAAAATTGTTCAATTTTCACTGATAATTTCGTTGCCATTCAATTGGGTAGAGTGAAGGTTCATTACGATAAACCATTATATTTGGGATTTTCCATATTAGAATTATCTAAAACAGTCATGTATGACTTTTTCTATGGATGCATCAAACAACACTTTGATGAAAATGTCTCTTTACTTTACACAGATACCGACTCGCTCATTCTTAAAGTAAACACAGAAAATTTTTATGAATTCATAAAAACTAACATAAGTAGATTTGATACATCCAATTACAGTATAGTTAACCAATTCAATATTCCAGTAACAAGTTCAGTCTTGGGTAACTTCAAAGATGAATTTCCAAATGATCCAATCATGAGTTTTTATGGTACAGGTGCTAAAGCATATTATGTGAAATCTGTTGATGGTGAATTTAAGAAAGCCAAAGGGGTTAAACGATCTGTAATAAAGAATGAATTGACATGCGAAGATTATCAAAAAATCGTCGAACAAGGTGGCATGATATTCAGAAAGATGAATTCATTTAGAAGCGTGTTGCATGATATGTATACTGAATTGAAAAATAAAGTTGCATTATCATATCACGACGATAAACGATTTATCATTCCGAATAGTACCCACACTCTTCCTTGGGGTCATAATGATATTGCATTTTATCAAAACGATCCGAATGATAACATTCGTTGGATAACTAATATTATTCAACAATCACAATCTCAGGATTGTGATTGTTGTGATTTAAAACCGGAAAATCCAATATTAATGTTTATGTAGGTATTCATAAATAAAACTGTAATGTGATATTAATGTATATGTATTACTTTAATGAATATAAAAATGATAGAAATTTTATTTGTTTTATTTCTATTTTCCTAACCAATTACTGCAAAGTATGTAGCATAATGTAAATGAAAGAAATATCAGTTTGAAAAGAATCATCGTATAGTGCACAATGTCTAAAACAATCGATAAGTTTGGTAGAAAAAGAAAGTGGGGTGGTAATGTCATTCGAGGTCCTCCGAGAAATGGATTTAAATTAAAAAAAGATGGTCATTATGACTTACAAAGAAAAATATTGAAAAATACAAGTGAACCAATTGACAAGAGTGATTGTGTAACTGTATCATATCTTGAGGGGGAAATTAATGGAGCAAAGGAAGTTATTTATACTTCTAGCCCTACAAGCTGCAATACAATCCACAATAGGCAATGTTGCTCGCGATGCCCGTCAAGCATTCGATGATAAAATTGCAGAGGCTCGGATAAGTTTCCATCGTAAATTTGACAAACTTGCAAGTGATGTAGAAATAAAAATGTTTGACATAACAGCGTCTACAATGAAAAAATATGATGCTATGTCTAATATAACAGCGACTACAATGAAAAAATATGATGTACTGGAACAGAGAGTTGAAGTTTTGGAGAAAAAACATAAAGTCAGGCCATCAGGTGAACTGGGATATCCAGGACTGGACATTAATCCAAATGTTAGAATAATAGAACCAGAACCAAAACCAACAGATGATGTATTAATTGAACGAACATGGTGAATCTACTCCTGCGTTAGGTTAGGTTAGGTTAGGCTTACTATGTTTACTAAATAAACTGAAACTCATAAGTAATTGAGGAATTTTGTAAAGGTAGTTAACCTTACGGAAAAAGTTCAATAAATATTTAAATACCGATAATCTTGAAGTACCAAGTTTAGGGTTTGAAGTTTTATGACTCTTTGCCGTTACATTTGCAACAAAAAATGAAATTTTCATCTAAATAAATCCTTTGTAATTTATAAAGAATGTAAAACGTTAACATTAGTAAGCCTATGGTGGTGTAATGGTGAAGAGTTATATTTTTATTTTTTTTTCCATTTTGCTCGTTTTTTTACGGTATTTCATATTAAACACACTAACCAAGTATATATTGCTTTTCTTTGTTTTTATTAATATCCCTCATTGATATTTTTATGAGCCGTCGTGCGCATGCGCGCCCCCTCCACATTCCCACAACTCGCGTATGCATGCCTATACCCCGAGGAGAGCACTTCTCAACAATCAGTACGACGACTCAAGTCAAACAGAGCAGTCCAGTCCACTCCAGCTCAGTCCAGTCTGGTGAAGAAGCAGAATTTTGAGTAAGTTGAAATTGTTATTTTCCTTTCTTTTTATCAACTAACTTTGTATTATTTAACATTTCAGAATGGCATCCAAACAGGAAATCAACAACGCCGTGGCATCCAGCATTCCAGTGGTCGATCAGGAGAAGGAGAAGGCAGCATCTTCAAGCGCTTGGGGCCGCTCTCTCAGCCCTGAGTTATTCCAGGCGGGCAGGCGAACAGGCGGACAATCTAGGCCGGTGGTGATGGACAAGGTGGCAAGTTCGAGCGGTAAGGGCCGATCTCTCAGCCCTGACTTATTTGAGGAGGAAGACAGGGTTGTTAAGAAGGTCTGTCGACAACCTGCAGCTAGGTCTGGACCTATTAGGAAGAGTTGCTTGCAATTATTACTATTTTTTGTGTAAAATTGAAAATAAGTGTAATAAATTTTTTTCTCCAGTCACAATTTAAGTAGATGACCAATGCCGGTTCTATGACTGTAGATGACCAATGCCGGTTCTATGACTGTAGATGACCAATGCCGGTTCTATGACTGAAAATGTTCAATTTTATGTTTCATTAAAAAAAATTTTTCAACAACACACTGTAGTCCCCGCCCACTCTCCTTCACTTTTAGCCCCGCCCCCTTCCCACCATTGCTCGCCTCACCCCACCATTGCGCAGGCGCGCCCCCACCTCACTCCCACTTCTGCCTACACCCCGAGGAGCGCACTTCTCGGCATTCAGTACGACAAGTCTTCTCATCGAGTGCAGTCCAGCTACAGCAGTCTACTACAACAGCCTGTGGATGTTGAGGTGGAGCGACCAGGCAGCCCTGACATGTTCGACGGAGACGAGGTGGTGATGGTCCAAGAGGTGAAGGCTTCAACTTCGGGTGCAGCGGCCACGCAGCCCTGTCTCATTCCAGGAAGACAGGGTTGTTAACAAAGCCAAGCGACAACCTGCAGCAAAGGTTGGTCCCATTCAAAGGTATAGGACTAACCAATAGGACTAAACCTTATGCAGGTAGTTGGTCGACCGCCAAAAGGAATCCTCCGAGACGTCCCACACCGCTCGCATTGACAGTGGAAAGACGGAGGGCATATAAGCCGGTGCCGAGGGTGCCATCTCCAGGTGAAATCCTCACCCAATTCGCACCATTAGCGATGTTGACACCCATGGAACTTACACCGGTGCCAGAGCCTGCCATGGAGGTCGTGCCACCAGTGTCGAAGCCTGCCGGGGAGATCGCGCCACAAGTGCCACCAGTGCCGGAGCCTATCGGAGAGGTTAACCCCCAGGAGATGGAAACTTTCCTACAGAGGTGTAGGGATGTTGCACTCGCTCCACGAAATAGTGAGGCCGCGTTGGCTAGCATTTCCCGGGAGGAGAATGAAATTGCTAGCCGAGTTAATGGGGATGGCCGAGCTAGATCGAAGGACTGCATCTCTGAAAGAAAGGCGGAAGGCAGAGACCTCTTCGATAGAGCTCAATATTAACCTAAACATATTTATTAAGAAATTTTTAAGTAAAGAGAAATAGTTTTTAGGTCAACTAGGATAGTTTTAGGTTAATTAGGTAGCATGGTAGTTCAAGGTTTGTAATTATAATTTTAGGAATAAAAAAAAACAAAAAAAACAAATGAAAAAAGAAGTGAAATAAAGGGTGTACATTGTTTTGGTTTGGTACACATTGAACAATGCGATGGTTGGAGCATTTTTCTTCACTTCGTCTTTTCATTATTTTTCTTTTTTTCCATTTTCAATTCCAAGTTCTTTCATCCCCACTCCTCCCCACTCCCTTTCAAAAGTATAAAAGTAGGAATTATCTGTTGGAATATTCAGTTGATCAGCCACCTCCAACATGGAACCTGATTCAACTACTGAGCCCTATAGTGTCCCGGAGCCTCAGATGTCTTACTATGCATCTATACAGGAAAGATTCGTGCACTCCACAACGGCACCTCATGACATTCCCTTCGAATTCATGAAT